CAATGGCGGTTGGAGCTGCATTAAACAGTCTTATGTATGGCACGTAGTAATAACGTTCACCCATGCAAAAGGGTAGGATGAGACACTGAAGTATCCATGGAGTCATTAACAGCTGTTCATGTAGACAGCAGGAAAACAGATTTCTCTATACAGTTGCTTGAGAAGTATTTTAAAAGCACTTACTTTCCACATGGAAATCGGTACGAGCCAAGGCACTGTAATGAATGTAGAGGGATAGGTAAGCAGCAATGAGGTGGCTTACCTTCACTTAGAGTCGTTCATCAGGTACAAATCCAATATTATCAGTATCTGAGGCCACAGAAAACTGGTGTCAGGAGAAAAGCTGTCAAGTTTTGGGGGTGAAATAATCCTTTTATGAAGAATGGATTTGTCTCAGATAGTATTCAGCCACTCAAAGAGCATATAACCCATTTTGTTTCTTCCGTTCTAGTGCTGATGAAAGATTTGATGCTACATTTCACACTAATGTTTTAGTCAATTCTTCAGGACATTGCCAGTATCTGCCACCAGGTAGGCTGTTTCCATGTCATAAATTTTGATAACTCGGACTACGTATGTATGGTGTGGTTTCAAATTTGAAGCAAATTCTCAGATATTTTATTTAGCTAGCATCATCTGATATATTTAAGCCTAGCTGCATTATGACTTAAATAGTTAACACCTTTGTATGAAATACACCATAAAAGGTACATGTTTATTGCAATTCTATGAATTCTTCCATCATAATGCAGTATTTCAGACGTGTGGAAGTAGGAAAGAAGATAAAAAATAAAAGCCTTCAATATTAAAAGACATTGCTTCTTAAAGCCATGGTAATGCTTCTCAATAAAAATTTATTTCTTTAATTTAGCTGGCTCTTCTATTAAGATGTTAACTTTACAGTAAGATGCTTAGTAACATCCTGGATGTATCTTCTATTTGAAGTGATCTGCTGGGTTCTTCATCAATATATAGTTAGTCTGAAATGAGTCTGTTTGGTATTTACTTGATATCCGCAGTGGAGCACTGTTTCTATTCCTAAACTCAATTGGTATAAATCTTAGAATTAACTTATCCTAGAATCTGAATTTTAGAAAGTACAGCAATAAAGCCAAGTGCTTTCCAGGCAAACTATTTTTTTTTCCCCCATTTAAGATCCCCAGAGGATTTCAGGCGGTTGCCTGTTGTTCTTTTGATTTAAGATCTTCCATTTGGTGGGGGTTTTTCAACTCAATTACAAAAGCTGCTAAATGTCAGGGCCTGACTCAACAAGTGATAAAAAAGAAGCTAGCTTTCCTGAATAAATCAAGATCGTGTAGATCTAACAGCATGGCAAATAATCTTTCAGGATTTCTTATTTTATTCAGTAAAAGAAATAGGAGAAACAGATTAAATATTCTGCTTCATTTCTTTCTGAAATGCAGTATCTAGAAATCTGAGCTCTTCTCTAAATATTCTCCCACCATGTGCCAAATGGAAATGTAGTTTAAAAAAACAGTTTATAACATCACCACGTAAATGGTTCTTTCCTTTTTCTGTGACTGACTTTTGCTATTCACATGTCAAGACATAACTGAGATTAAATATGCTTTACAAGTGAAAATCAGAGGGTGAAATGTAGAACAAGGTCTGGCTACAAAATTTACATGAAATTATGTGGAACAAGCATTTAAATTAAGTGTTCTTGTTTAAAATCCAATCTAGGCATATTTAAAAGCTCATGCTACATAGATGTGCGCTGGTTTCCATTTGATGTTCAGAAGTGTAACCTGAAGTTTGGATCCTGGACTTACGGAGGCTGGTCCTTGGACTTACAAATGCAAGAAGCAGATATATCTGGTTATATTTCAAATGGAGAATGGGATTTAGTAGGTAAGCTCTTGATTTCTTATTCACACTGTGAACTTGCAGCCTTGCCTCCACTGCTGAAATGAATGGAATAGATTGGGAAATGAAGATAGAAATTAAATTAATAAATTACCTAGCTAGTGACATTTGAAACTCTGAGAAGAGATGTAAGATGAAAATCAACATTAAAAAAGTAGGTGACAAAACTGCCACTTGAATTTGGTATCTTTTATCCAACTTTATTATCTGACAAAAATTACTTGATTGGGAATTAGGCTTAAAGTAGTTTTATCTATAGTGAAACTTAGAATTTAGATAAAACATTTATCCTTTTTAAGAACAATCACTACATAATATACAGTTTATTCACATTAATTTATGTTTTTCTTCCTCTTCCCTCCTACACAGGAGTTCCTGGGAAGAGAACTGAGAGTTTTTATGAATGTTGTAAAGAACCATACCCAGATGTAACATTCACAGTAACTATGAGACGTAGGACTCTCTATTACGGACTCAATCTTCTTATTCCTTGTGTACTGATATCGGCACTTGCTTTGTTAGTTTTTCTGCTTCCAGCAGACTCGGGAGAAAAGATCTCACTAGGTAAATCCTTAATAGGATATTGTAAATATGACCAAATCAAAAGAAGTTGCCCTTTTTAAAGTTTTTTCAATAGTCTTAGTAGGCAAGGGGAGATACCTTATGTGCTGTATTCTGGCTCCAGAGCTATTTTTACTGTTTGATGGTGAAGCTGTGTGATGGTGAAGCTTGCTCTCAGCTTAGGGTACACTGAAGTTATGAAATTAATATTTCCTTTTAATAGTGAGTTGTATTAAGAGCCTAAGGTGCATTCTCAGAAAGACTCAACCCTGGCGGTGTTCAAGGCCAGGCTGGACAGAGCCTTGGGCAACATAGTTTAGTGTGTGGTGTCCCTGCTCATGGCAGGGGGTTGGAACTAGATGATCTTAAGGTCCTTTCCAACTCTAACTATTCTATGATTCTATGATTCTGTCTGCTACTATTACAATTTTTATAGTGAATTGGTTTGTGAGTCAAATCTGATGACTTTAAGTACTTGATCCTTAAGATGGAGGTTCATACCTCTTTTTTGCCTTATACAAACCTGGAAATGCACTGGCTTTTACTAAGTTGATGTACCTGGTAAAAGGTAGAAACAAAACTGACATTTCTCCAGAACATGGTTTAACTGAGTAGAGCCTCCCTAATCAAGAAGTCCCTCCCCATATTTGAAGATTAGTTCTTTATTCCTAAACCTTTTTCCACCTGACAATGAATGGCTCCTTATTAATTAAGACTAGCCCTGAGTCTTATTCCAGAAAGATGGGAACTCATCACTGAGCAACAGAAGTCAAACTCCAAAAATCAATGGTAAGGACTGCTGGGGCATAGCCAGGTGCAGAACCCAACAGCTAATATCAAAAGATATCAAAGTCTGTCCAAGACAGCAAATCTGGTTTTCAGGAATATGACACATTGCCCCACCACCTGTAGCTTCTATGCCAATTAATCAAGTGTCATATGCTTAAATACTCAAAATCACACCATGTTTCTAAAGCAAGCAAGCAAGCAGCAAGAATTACTTTGATTTACCTCAGCTAATTAGCAAATGGTGATAAAAGCTGAACAGTTACAAGGATCTAAGAACATGCACATCTCTGCAAGCATTGGTACTAGTCTCACAGCACTGCTATTCTGAACCTGAGGTGGTACAAGAAAGGACAGGAGTACCACTAACATGCTGGTGCAGGGGTAACAGTGGGAATGCATCTTGCGAAGAGCACTCCTTCAGATTCATTTGCTGCTGCTTACAGCTTTGTAATTACAGGCTACCAATCTAATGTCATATGTCATGTTTATCTTTCAGGTATAACAGTTTTATTGTCTCTCACTGTCTTCATGTTACTTGTGGCTGAAATAATGCCAGCAACATCTGATTCTGTGCCCTTAATCGGTAAGCTAACTACCACTTTTATTCACTTTCATGTCTTTGTCAAATGAGGTGCAGTGACTTTGCATGAAGGCCAGCAGTAAGGCAAATAACTATACAATGGCCTACTGCAACTGAATTAGAGAAATGTGGGCAACTCATAAGAGGCTTTTATGGGTGTGATCCCCTATACAACTTCCATGCTCTCTCCTCTGAACAAATAGAGAATCTGTGTGTATTTTAGGAAAGCATAAACGAGTTGGTTTTCTACAGAAGAAGCTGTTGCAGTTTCAACACAACTGGTCAGACATTAGGAATACAGAGGTAACCATGAGTAAATCTTCGCATTACAACTGCTCAAACAGAAAGAGAAACTTTTCAAAATAAGTACTAGCCAGTCTCTACAACACTGGTGAAAGAAAATTAGATGACAGGTTTTTTCAAGGTTGCTTAGCAAAGGCAGGTGCTCAGCTCCACAAAGCCATTCCTGAAGGCTGGCTATCCGCTCAAAGGAATGGCTGCTTACTCTGATTTTGAGAAATCTCTTGTAAGTACCTGAAGTAGCATGTGTATCACTAAACTAGAAAAAGAATTTAACACTATGTATGCATGTCTATAAACATCCCTTATTGCTACAAAGCAGCATGAGCTGAAGTATATCTCTGTAATTATCTGTTTATTTTGCAGCTCAGTATTTTGCCAGCACTATGATTATTGTTGGCCTTTCCGTTATTGTCACTGTTGTTGTTCTACAATACCATCATCATGATCCAGATGGGGGGAAAATGCCTAAATGGGTAAGGTTTGATTTTCATTCATTATAGAATCACAGAATAGTTAGGGTTAGAAAGGACCTTAACATCATCTAGTTCCAGACCCCCTGCTGCGTGCAGGGATGCCTCACACTAGGCCAGACTTCTCAAGGCTCTGTCCAGTCTGGCCTTGAACACTGCCAGGGATGGAGCGTTTACCACTTACTTGGGCAACCTGTGCCAGCCCCTCACCACCCTCACAGTAAAGAACTTTTTCGTTATACCTAACCTGAACTTCCCCTGCTTAAGTTTAAACCCATCACCCCTTGTCCTACCACTACAGTCCCTGCTGAAGCGTCCCTCCCCAGCATCCTTGTAGGCCCCCTTCAGACACTGGAAGTTGCTCTGAGGTCTCCACCCAGCTTCTCTTCTCCAGGCTGAACAGCCCCAACTTTCTCAGCCTGTCTTTATATGGAAGGTGCTCCAGCCCCTGATCATCCTCGTGGCCCTCCTCTGGACTTGCTCCAACAGCTCCATGTCCTTTTTATGTTGGGGACACCAGAGTTGTACACAGTATTCCAAGTGTGGTCTCACAAGAGCAATTGCACAAATGTCCTGATCAAGGAAGCAATAGAGTAGCTTGTATCCTATGTTTAATTCTTACTGTAAAAAACATGTAAATCCTTCCTAAACATTTTGTTTTGAAAAGTAGTTTTACCAGAAATGAGATGTCCTGATACATTTTATGTGGTTGGCTTCTTAGAGGGTGTGTGTGTGAGAGACAGAATGAATATACCTCAACTTGCTCCTATATTCAAAATCTCTCTCAGAGCAGCTAGAAGTAACTCAGGATTTTGCCAAAAACTAAATACATAAATGAAGGTGCTTTTCAAATAAGCTGTAGACATCAGAAGTGAAACAAATAGAAGGAAAGAGTAAGGTGCTGATGGAGATTTTAAATGCATGAAATACTCCACCCCAAGATGCAACTGCGCAACTGCTATGTATTTAGCTGCTGTGCATATGGAAACATCAACAGCCTAAAAAGCACTTGTTAAAGATGGCTGTTAAAGCAGAAGTGAAACTTGCTCTGAAAATCCTCATCTTTACATCTCTGGTCAAGAGTATCTGTAAAGAGCAAAGAAAAAATAGTCTTTTTCTAAGCATTATCATTCTTTTCATAATGTACTTCTATGAACGGTTGTTTTTACAACGAACATTACACTGATATTGCATTACTAAATATTGATGAGCATCATTAGCTAACCGTCCACTCTTCCTGACTTCACCCAGCTCACGGCAGCCTCAGGCATTAACACAAATGGAAAGACCTTTCTTTTTTCTCTCTAGAACAATGAGGTACTATCACATACAGCAGTGCCCTGCAGACAAGAGATAATGAGATATTCCCTGGCCTGTTCTGGGTGGTGACTTTAAAATAAATTTCAATTAAGAGACTCAAAGGTGTATATCTTTAGACATATGTTTGATGACCTAAAAGGGGCAAATGTTTAGTACTGAGCCAAACATCCTGAGAAAACAGAGTACTTGAGGTAGAGGAGTGAGCTTTAGTGTTAAGAAGCTGAAGACAATTAAACATTATTTGGATACTGGCGGATTTTGGATCAAGCCCTCAGCTAACGGAATATTATCCTTCTTGCTGAAGCTTGATAGTGTAAATAGAGTAAGAGGACAAGATCTATCTCTGGTTGGGATACTTGCCTGGATATAGTATCAACTCTGAGTGGCAATCCATAGTCAGAATAAATGGACCAAATTTAATATTAATTACAGTGTAAGATTTGCGTATTATACGACACAATAGTATTTCATTAGTGCTCTGGAAAAGAAACACTGGAATGAGCTCTTAAAATCTGATTGAAATAAATAACAGAAGCCTGCATCTGAACTGGAACTGTGGCTCATCTGCACTTTCTGTAAGGCTGAATTAAGGCAATTTGAAAACAGTAAAATGATACACACTGATTAAATTTGCAAAGTTGATTTTTTTTTTCTAAACAAAAAACCAACGAAGTAATTGTCCCATCTTTTCTCCATGATAAAAGCAGATCTGTTTTCTAAAATCTGCATTCACCTGTTATGAAAACAACGTGAGAAGAGACCCAAATCATTGTAAAGCTTGGTGGCTCGGTCCAGTCCAGTATAGCATCTGTTTTAACAGCCCTCTCCAAACAATAATGTCATGTGAATTTAATATTAGAGCATAAATATGAGTGAAAGAATGGTAATTTATTGAACACAATCTAAAGCAGCACTATTATGACTATTAAAAAGTAACTTCAGTAAATGGTTTTTCTTTTAGTTCATGGCTTCTAGTAAAGGTGGAAAAGGTTGCCATATTCCTATTCAAGTGTAAGGAGAAATCAACTCTACAGAGGCTCCCATCAGTAGCAATAAGTTAGCCTGAGACAATCAATAGCACTGCTAGAATTAAGAAAGCAGCCTCCACAATTGACAAATTAATCAGCTGGAAAAGTCTGGTGCCATTTTCTAGAACTCCTGCACAGACTAAGTAGAGATCATGGACCAGACAGTCACCCAGGCTGCAAAAATACCAATAGTTCCCAAGGACAATGGCTATGTGAAGAGATGCTTATTCTCAACAATCTTCTTTCAGACAAGAATCATCCTTCTCAACTGGTGTGCTTGGTTTCTGAGGATGAAAAGACCAGGGGAAGACAAAGTGCGTCCTGCCTGTCAACATAATCAGCGTCGAGGTAGCCTATCAAGTGTGGAGATGAACACTCTGAGTGCACAGCAATCCAGTAATGGGAATATGCTGTACATTGGGTTCAGGGGGCTGGAAGGGGTTCACTGCACGCCTACCACTGATTCAGGGGTGATCTGTGGGAGGATGACCTGCTCACCAACAGATGAAGAAAACCTGCTACACAGTGGCCACCCCTCTGAAGGTGACCCAGATTTGGCTAAGATCCTGGAAGAGGTCAGGTACATTGCAAACCGATTCAGAGACCAGGATGAAGAGGAAGCCATCTGCAGTGAATGGAAGTTTGCAGCCTCTGTAGTGGATCGGCTCTGCTTGATGGCTTTTTCAGTCTTCACAATCATTTGTACAATTGGTATTTTAATGTCAGCACCAAACTTTGTAGAGGCTGTGTCTAAAGATTTTGCTTAACTCCTAACTACAATCTGATTCTCTGAAGTATGATATGTAGCAAATAAGAGTGGGGTTTTCTGTTTGCTTGCTTGTTTTTAATGAGTATACTGCTTCTCATTGTCCGCTTCCTTTTGTCCCCCCAACTCTGGTCCCGAGTTCATTTTGGAAGAATGGCACCATTTCAGAAGGAAAGCCAAGGATTTCTCCCTGGGCTGCCTGTGCACAGCTCCTCTGACCACTCTTTTGTGGGACTGATGCAACACGGCTGGAAGTCCCTTCAGAATGACAGGGTATTTGCACCACCACCTCTTACATAGTTTTGAACTGCCTATTACAAAATAACAGGTAGGCAACACCAGAAATGTCACTTCTTCCAGACTTTGTTATAAAAGACAGAAGGTGGTCCTATTTGAATGAGCGATCATAAACACTTGTGTTTAGGAGAGGATTAAATCCAAATGGAAGCTCAAACAGCAGAGAGAAAGGGAGAAATAGTTTGCTTTTCAGCTACTGCTTCTTACTGAGTTGTGGTATGTAGCTCTCCCGCTCACTCATAACCAGTCAGACCCTTAACTCCCTCCATGCATTTTACAGACACACCAGGAACCCGAGAGTTAAAATTATACACCACATAACTTGTCCTTCTTTATCTTTCTGGATCTGAACTGTGTGTTTGGCCTGAATTCTTAAGCAGGCTTCACAGTAATTTTTGCAGCGTTTACTACTTCTTCCTTCTCCTCAGAAAGACATTCTTTCAACCGATGACCTTTTTAACCATCAAAAAGAAAAGGAAGGATGCCTTTATTCTCACTTGTTAAAAAAAACCCCCAAACAACCCAAAGCAACAAAGCAACCAAACAACCCCAAACTTCCAGAAAACGCCCAGGGAAAAAAACCCAAACCACACACTTGTCTCTCTACTGTTAACTGTATTTCAGTGTGGAAAAGTGACACTCAGTCTCTTGTACAGGCGTAAGCATAAATGAAGACTCTAAAGCAAAAAGAAGCCATTAAATCCTGAGATCAAGGTTTTAATTAAAAAAGTTAAGAGTGTGATCTACTGTATGCTTAACCTTTTCTAGACTTCCTCCTGTTGAGTCACCATAACGTGTCTTTACAAGAAAACTGCACCTTTTCTGCTCAGTTTATGATCCAAAGAGCACTAAGGAATAGTACAGCTTTCTTGGGTCTGATAGAAACTATGAACTGTATCTATATATACATACAGACACCGCATGTATGTCCAAGGAAAGGTTAAGACTTAAATACAAATTCTCTTAAGTCTAGACAAACATTTGCAAAGGCAAAACTAATAATTCATCACTTTATGTTATTTCTGATTCTGAAATTCTCCCATCAAAATATGCTTAGTTTTCACATGATGGCTTAATGAAAAGGATTGAGCTGAGAATACCAGGGCCTAAAACTTCATGTGCACAGAACAGCTCTTAGAATTCTCACTGCATTAGTCTCTTGCTGGCGCACCAGTATTCCTGACCAGTGATAGTCGTGGTAAAAGATGTGGGGGAGGATTACTTCAGCATTGACTGCTTGCTTTATCCTACAGAACCCCAACCTTTTGGCTGAGGTCTTCACAGACGCAAATGGAGGCCTGTTGTTGTACCATGTTTTTACTGTGAAATAAACTCAATCCTCAGTTCATCTCTTACGCTGAATTAAAATAAAGTGATTGAAACGCTTATTCTCCCTAGGAAACAATTTTCTTCTCAGAATCTGCAACCCTGAGAGCAGAATAACCATATTTCATGTAAACCAAGCCCAGAGTCATCACAGTTACAGTCCATCACAGAAGCAAACACCTCACTGAGGTACCTTCACCCCAGAGAAGAGGGAGGATGAGTGAAAGGAAGGCAGGATACTTCTCACAGTTTGTGAATTTTGTCTTCCTAAGGTTCATTCAGAATCTCACACAGCAGAGACATGAGCAAAGCATTCAAATCCTTCTTAAAATTTCATCTTGAAACCATGTCTTAGAGTGATCTGTGAAGAAGTTGTATTTTCAGGAACAATTACTAAGAATTAGCCATGAACTAATTCCTGCAAATAGTTTCTAGTTTGTAGATTGCACATGAATAGGAAACTAGGAGTCCAAAACCTGAAATCTGAGTTTTGTTCAGCTGTGAATAACTATACATATCATGTGGCATGTGCTTATCTTCTGAGTAATGTTTCTAGGCTAGGCTTCCTGATGCAAATGTTGATTTACATTTGTATTTTTTCCTTCTGCAAGTATCCCTAAGTAGCTACACAACATGTTCCATTTATTCTTTGTAAAGTTTCAGGGTCCTCTTGGAAAAGAATTTTTCAAGGAGAAATAAAGACATCTGGGGGCTACCTAGTACAACAGGACACAACTGCTGCAATCACAATACCATGACACGTGTAATATAGGAAGCATGAGAGTACCCCTCTTTCCACCAGCATCCATTTACAGTATCTGTAGAAATCTTGCTAAATACAGGAGGTTTTTACCGAAGGATGGAGAAAACAAATTGCAATTTGACAGTAAACTTCATTACCAATGACAGACACGCCTATGCTTAAAAAACCCTAGAGACTGCTTAGTGAAGTCCTGCCAGTCTGTAAGACTGAGTTTGCAACACCGTCAGCGAGTACCAGGTATTAGACAAAGCAGCTGTTAGACACCAGTGTCATGCCCACCCTGCTGCCTTTATGGTTGGCAGCATTAATGAAAATGCACCCAGGGACAGGCGAATCCTTATCTTCCTGCTGTTAATGCAACCTGTAAACATTTGGTGATAAGATTATTATAAATTTTAAATACAACAGCGACAACTTCTTAGTTATTTTGCATCTATGAGTTAATTTTTCCTATAACTGAGCTGAGCAAAATTGGTATGTTTCTTGTCAAATTGTGTGTGTCTTAAATATATTTGTGTATGTGCTAAAGAGTATTTTGATCTAAATGCTGGAAAAATAACAATTATTTACAATTCTGGGCATAGAGATGGAAATTAAAACACTGTGCACAGTATGTGTACATAATATTAAAGACAACGTATTAATGGTAAGGATCTATTATAAACTTTAGAGTGCAGAGAGAGGATAAGCAAGTGGTTCACCACAACTAAGCTATGACTTGTCTTACAAATTCAAAAGCTCACTGTGGAGCTCAGCTGTCATGTACAATACTATGTGTGAACAATGTATATTACTTTTCCTGTTTGGTTTTTTTTTAAATATTGAATTGTATTGAATATTTAAATAACTTTTTAATATTAAAAAAAATTTATTTAAGTGTTAATGCCAAAAAAGTTCCAAATGTAAAATTTTAAATAGTCAGTTTTAAATACAGATAAATTATTTAAGTGGTATTAAAAAGATTATTTTATATAGGAATAGGTAATACTATGTAAGACTCTTTTTAAAGGTTTCTTTAAATTCTCCCCATGTTCTCTTTAGCTGCAGGATGTAATTGTAACCTGTGTCAATTCAACTTTCTGCCTTCTTTAACAAGAAAAGAAGGTAAACCAAAGTCCTAGATTTTGTTTCCCTTTGTTATACTATTTTTTACATTAAGAAACATGGCATAAGGGGCATTAGAAAGAGATGTTACATCTGTCAGGTACTGATTGTCATATAACAAATGCAGTACCTTTTCAGTCCAGTACGAATAAAAGATTTAGATCAAGAAACTTGATTCTTTCTCATTGTGCTAAGATGGAAACAAGTTCAAGTGGTAGAGTACATGAACAGCCACAAAAAGAAAGAAAAATGTCTGTGGATATATCTGTATGGGATAACAAAGGTCTTTGATAATTAAAAATACATTCATGTCCTCCTAGTAAACCAGTCCCACACTAAACATTATTCAGTCTTACATAAGCAATCAAAGTTAAATGAGGAGGACTGAAATACCACGTAAGTTTTGGAATGGCCTTGATGCCAGTATTAACATAGTAGAGAGAAATGAGAGAAAACACAAATCCATACCAGCCAAATAAAATGTTGACAGCTGCCCATTTTGTTTGTTGGCCACTGGTGAAAATATACCTAACCAGCAGAATACCCCCAGGATGGGGAAATGACGTCAGTGTAATTTTTGCAGACAGACGAGATGTACTGCCTACATGTTCAAACAGCTTCCTGAAAAGTCTTCTATCTTCACAACATCCCACTGAGCATGTATCAGTAATAAAAAACAAGGGTTGCCAAGCCCAAGACTTTATTATCTTATTGCTTCCACAAGCTTGTACGAAACAACTAATGAAGACCTGTTTGGTCAAGGTTAATGTACCAAGTCATACAAGCATGTAGTTGCTGCTGAATCCAATCTGTCTTTGGGTAAGACCTGCTGCGGTTCACAACGTCAGATATTCCTAAGTGAGGATCACCCTGATGGGTGCGCACTCTGCCAAGCCAACATGCCTACCCTCCCTCCTAGAGTGCTGAGAAGCAGGACACACCATGTCAGACTTACTGTCATACTTCGGCGTAGTCAGACAGGTTTAGTTCAGCACACACCAGGCAGTTTCCTGGCACTGTGTATAAACTGTGTATAAACACCATCGCACATACTCCACCTCTGAAGCATTTGTGTTTGGGGATTAAAATTGGACTGCTCTCTGCTGCTGCTCTCAGCATCTGGTTGGTTAATATGCAGACTGAAAGCTGTTATGGTTTAGGAGTTTATACATGAGCACATCCAATGTCATTGCCCTGTGGACGGGTGGGAGGCAACTTTAATCAGAGCCCTGGGTGTTGTGGTTACAGGGTAACAGTATCAGCCATCTAGCTTTAATCCTGTAAGAACAATCAGAATATACTTTCTCTTCAACGAAACCAATTTCTCAGCCTAACCTCATGATATTAAAATATCACTTAATCTTAAAAGGCTGTGAACAGAATCTGCATGTTACAGCCAATCTAACCTGTAGATTATGAGGTAATCAAATAGGATCTTAACAGGACTACAACCACAATGAAAGCCTTTCACTATTGCCTTTTTTTTTCCCCACTGCTTCTGCTGCTTAAAAGAAAACCTTAAAGTTTATGTAACATTTATTTGTGCTATTAAGTAATACGCAGATGATGGCAGAGAGAGAATAAACAACAATCTCTAACACTCCAATAACCACATTCAAGACTGCCATTTATTACAGAACATGAAAGTACTTGAGTCTGAAACATAGCATCAATGTCATACCTCACTGTAAAGATACCACTAGTAAATTACTGGGTTTTCAGAGCTGCACTGGCTTGTCCCTGTAATACAGTTATACAGGAATAGCAGCTTAAACTCCAAGACAATATGAACTATCTGCATATTTTTACCTTTAAAAAAAACCAAACCAAAACCCAATAAAAATTTAACAGCCACAATGTGATATAATGCTACTTTGGAATATGCATACATGAGAATAGCAT